CTTTTTCCTGTTTATTATTTTTCTTGTGCATTACTTTTGTTGCTCGTGAGTTTATACAACTGATTAGTGGCTTTTAATCCCTACAGAAATATTACAGCAGGAGTACTAAATCTTTTCAAAGTGAACAACTGACTCTTCTTTTCCAACCGACTCTTCTTTTCCAACCTACCATTGTACATCGTTAAATAATTTGAAGTTAGATAAAATTACCATTTTGCCCCTCCTATTATTTTTGCAATTTGCTGCTTAGTCTTATTTTTGTTTTGCAATCAATTGTCATCATATAAAAAAATAATTAAATTCAAACATGGGCTTAATGTAATGGATTGCAATCAATTAAATTCATGAAAAACTTGTATCTTTGTCTAATATCTTCTTCAAATATTTATCCACCCTATAACATCAAAGGATATACCTCTATTTGGTAGGAATAAAAATTTAGATTTTAATTTAAATCAAAATCAATAATTAATTTTTATGAGACCCATAATTTTTCAACCACGTATTTAGCAATTTTTATCAAAACCTACTGAAACTCTGATTTTAATCCCTACTCCTTTCTATTAAAATAAGTAATGATTTGCAAACATAAAGACAAATTAGATTCCTTTATTCCACAGTAGTAGTAGAGTTGAAATTGGAGAAAAAACCGAACTTCTTCCCTTCTATTGGCTACTTGTGAGAAAGACGTATTTTCTAGACTATTCTGGATTTGGCACAAAGTCTACAAGCTGGAGATGGCCACAGTGTTATCTGGTACAAATTAGTGGAGAGCAAGATCAAAATTTGGCATAAAATAGACGAGCACAAGGCCAATTTTTCAAACCAAAACCTATAGAAATTGACGACCACCTTTGCGTTTGTCTTTAAAATAGTTAGCGTCAACCGACAGCCATTTTTTGACATTATAATTTTTCCACATACCATACCATATAGGGTTGTTTTTTACGTAGACAAATTCAACGGTGCAATCTATTTCTTCATTTGACAAAAAGAAGTGGCCAGAATTTTGTTCAACAATTTTTTCGATCAGAACTTGACTACTGTGGTTGGATACAGATTTTTGACTGCTACTTAGTGTCGGTAATAGGTTTGAAAAAATATCTAAAAATATTAAATTTATTTATTTGTACAGTGCAACTACCCATTGCAAGGGGTTATTCGAGCATATCTAAGTAGATAATATGTTTAGATATGGATCTCTATGTCATTCTATTCCATTTAGGAATAGGATTATGTACTGTAATGTGTATTCTTGTGATCGATTTAACAGATATTTTATCTTATGAATCTGGGCGACACATGTGCTAAAATGGTTTGGAGAAAGGATCACGACCCTGCGAGGATGAGCTAACCCCAAAAACCATTCTCGGTTTGAATTGCAGTCTCGTTATTTCTCTATGGGTCCATTTGATTGCAAGAGTGGAGATGAAAAAAAAATGAATTTCAGGGAATTGAATTGCCTAGAATTGTTTTCCTGGAAATTATCAATTAATTGTGTTTGATTGATATAATTTTTCACGTGAAAAATATTTAAATTTTGGATCTTTTGGTGTTTGTTTGACTTTATTTTTTATGGAAATTGTCCATTAAAGATAATTTTTTTTTTTCAATTGGATATAAAATTTGTGTCAATTGCAAAAATAATAATAATAATAAAAATAATAATAATAAACTGGAAAACATTTTA